AACCTCTATACATTAAAATAAATGTAGATAGTACCAGTAACCATGTAAGAAGCTAAATGATATCATATATATGTGTTTTGACAACCAATATTATTTTTGTCTTTGTCTACGACATCTAACTTTTTTATTAATGACGCTCCATATATTTTTTAGACATTCTTGTAGAGTCTGTTTTTCTGAATTTCCGCCACTGTATTTGATTCGAACTTACTGTGTTACGAAAATACAGTCTGTTAGCTTGTTTATATTTGGTTTGGAGTGCATTTCTCTTTCACCCATGGTAGGAAACGGATTAACAATTATTGTTTCAAAAAATATTAATGTATTGAGGACAAAGCTATGCCTGTGTTTCTAGTGAGTTTTCTCATTATTTCAGCAAGGACAAGTGTGCCACAGCAGTAATAGTGTAAAAAAAAAACTCACGTGACAGTCAAAGTGTCCGAAGTGAAATACTTTACGCTACAAAGGCAGATTCATAAACAACAAGTACAAGAGTATGTGATTTTATAAAATTTAAATTCTACTTACTATGAAAAATGTTGAGGGGATGTCATCACGTTGTTGGTAGGTATGGTTAGACAAATTTTGGTTGGCGTTTACCATCTACACGACGTTCCTAACACAAAATTTGACAACAATCGACCCGGTAGTTTCGGAGATTATTTGTCCAATAGAAATCTGGGCAATATACGAACGGAAGCTGAAGACTCAGTTTTTCGTATCTTTGGGGGCCATGAGACGTCGGGAAAACCGACCAATGGACTCGATTACAATAAAAATCGCCAAAACTTCTAATTATATAACTGAGATTGTTATTCAAAAACGTAAAGACAGACTTTATGAATGCGATACGTTACCTTATAAATCTTATAATGTTACATTTCGCTATTTTGTCTGAAATTTTAGCTTGCATAATTTGAATAATAATAATACTGCTCACTCAAATTCCATATACCAGTGGTCCCTACTTGAGTATTTAGTACAAAAAAAAGATAATAAATTTAAAAAATTAAGTTTAAGTATAATAATCGTTATTTTTATCGCAAGTACCTACAGTTTTTGTGGACGCAACGGTTGGTCTGAAAAAACTGTATTTTAGCCATTTATCCTAAAAATAACTATTTCGTTGAGTTCGTAAAATAGGTATTTTTGGAAGTTTATACAAAAAACCTTTATCTGCAATTGACTTTTATTAACCGAAAAGGAGACAATTTGGTGTATTTTCCACATTTTGGCGTTTGTAGATGCAAGAATTTCGTTCAAAAACCTCAGAAATACAACTTTTGAAGCTCTCTTTTTTGATTTCTAACGTTTCCTGCACTCTCTGTGCTGGAAAATACCAAGAAAAGCTTCACTTTTTAACTTTGAATAATATTTTTGTTGAAATATATGAGTTGTGCGTTATATTTCGGCTTGTTTTGAAAATTCTGAACGTCTTGGTCCATTTGCGATATGTGAAATCAACTTATTTTGCGAAAAGGAGACGACTGGGTGTATTTTTCACGTTCAGGTGTTTGTAGATTCGAGAATTTCGTTCAATAATTTCAGAAATCTAAATTTTCAGATTCTCTTTTATGACTTCTAACGTTTCCTGCATCCCCTGGACTCGAAAATAATAAAAAAAACTTTCAATTTTTAATTACAAATAATGTTTTTGTTGAAATTATTTTGGCTTATTTTGAAAATTTTGAACGTCTTGATGCATTTGCGATATGTAGAATCGAGTTATTTTGCGAAAAGGAAACGATTGGGTGTATTTTTCACATTTTGGCGTTTATAGTTTCGAGAATTTCGTTCAAAAACTTCAGAAATGCAACTTTTAAAACTCTTTTTTAATTCCTAACGTTTCTTGCACTCTCTGTGCTGGAAAATACCAAGAAAAGCTTCACTTTTTAACTTTGAATATTATTTTTGTTGAAATTTATGAGTTGTGAGTTATATTTCGGCTTGTTTTGAAATTTTTGAACGTCTTGATGCATTTGCGATATGTAGAATCGAGTTATTTTGCGAAAAGGAGACAATTGGGTGTGTTTTTCACATTTTGGGGTTTGTAGATTCAAAAATTTCAGAATTGCAACTTTTGAAACTCTCTTTTTTTATTTCTAACGTTTCCTGCACTCTCTGTGCTGGAAAATGGCATGAAAATCTTCAATTTTGAACTATAAATAAGATTTTTATTGAAATCGATGAGTTGTGAGTTATATTTAGACTCATTTTGAAAATTCTGAACGTTTTGACCCATTTGCGATATGTGATATTAACTTATTTTGCGAAAAGGAGAGGATTGGGTGTATTTTCCAAGTTTAGGTGTTTGTAGATTCAAAAACTTCGTTTAATAATTTCAGAAAACTAACTTTTGAAACTCTCTTTTATGACTTCTAACGTTTTCTGCATCTCCTGGACTCGAAAATGCCAAGAAAACTTTCAATTTTCAATTATAAATGCTATTTTTTGTTGAAATGTATGAGGTCGGAGTTATATTTTGGCTTATTTTGAAAATTTTGAATGTCTTGATGCATTTGCGATATGCAGAAATTTTGCGAAAAGGAGACGAATGGGTGTATTATCCACATTTTGGCGTTTGTAAATTCAAGAATTTTGTTCAAAAACTTCAAAAATGCAACTTTCGATTCTATCTTTTTTGATTTCTAACGTTTTCTGCATTCTCTCTTGCTCGAAAATACCAAAAAATTCTTCAATTTTTACATATGAATAATATTTTTGTTGAAATTTATGAGTTGTGAGTTATATTTCGGCTTGTTTTGAAAATTCCAAACGTTTTGACCCATTTGTGATATGTGAAATCAACTTATTTTGCCAAAATAAGACGATTGGGTGTATTTTCCACGTTTAGATGTTTGTAGGTTCAAGAATTTCAGAAATCTAACTTTTCAAACTCTCTTTTATGACTTCTAACATTTCCTGCATCCCCTGGACTCGAAAATACCAAGAAAATTTTCAATTTTTAATTACAACTAATATTTTTTGTTGAAATTATTTTGGCTTATTTTGAAAATTTTGGACGACTTTCGATTCAAGAATTTCGTTCAAAAGCTCAGAAATCTAACTTCTGAAACTCTCTTTTATGATTTCTGACGTTTCCTGCATGCCCTGAGCTCGAAAATACCAATAAAACTTTCAGTTTTTAATAAGAATAATATATATATTTTTGTTGAAATTTATGAGTGTTATGAAAATTTTGAACGTCTTGATGCATTTGCGATATGTAGAATCGACCTTTTCTTAGAAAAGGAGACGACTGGGTATATTTTCTACGTTCTGGCGTGTGAAGATTCAAAAAATTCATTCAAAGGTTAGACGATGTTTAAAGTTATAGTTTTACAGCGAAATTTGAATTTGTAAAAGTGATCTAAACAGCTTTGGCAGGAATTTTCCACATATTCTTACATATCTAGTGTAAAAAATCAGAACACATGGACAAAACTAATTTCACGAAAAATTTGTCAAAATTCTCACTATGGACGTGAACTAAGATTCTATCCTCTAACGCATTTTTTCTGAAATTTTGAATCTGGACCTTGTGTAAGAAATCTCCAAATAATCCAGAATCAATAAAGCTACTTTTCAAAAAAAAAAATATATCAGAAAATTTGTTACAAAGTGATCGTCAATCTTTCGAAAAATGTATAGTAGTATCTTAGAAATTTTGAATGCAGAAAAAAGTACTAACCTAGAAAGAAATTTCCACCAATTCTAAAACTACGGTATTTTTCTTCCCGGTAAATAGCTACTTGCATTTTTTCTTGACGTTGTATAACTTTTAGGGTACAAAAAAATCACTTCGCATAGTGAAGGTTATCTAAATTTTATAAAGTAATATATTACTTGCACTCGGGGTTTATGAACCTGCCTTGTTTTTTATCATCAATATTTTAGAAATATTTTTTTTGTGCAATATTTTTCACTATTTCTTGCTCGTGGACGGACTCGTGAGTTCGATCCATTTCTTCATATTGTGATTGTTTTCCTTATAGGGGTTATCAAAGAATAATTAAAAGTCTGCAAAATCAAATTTTATAATTTTTCGAAAAAAACAGATATTTATGTTCGGTTGCATTTAAGGAGCGAGGGAAGTTCTGTTTAAATAACTTTAGGTCAATTTTTGTATGACACATCATCTCCTTTTTCAGAAAAAAAATTTCTTTAGTACGACGACAATCGTCCGAAAAAAACTCAAAGCTTTAAATTATTGAATAAAATAAGTTTCAACTCCTTATAGAAATGTTTACAAATTTTGTATGTAGAGTTGTTCTGTGATTGATTTTGATATAAAAAGCCGAAAAATTAAAAAACCCAGTTTGTCTTATACGAGCCTTTATAAAAAACGGCGATAATCGCCCGGAAAAATGTTCCATCTAATCGACAATTATCCGCGGCTTCTAAATCTGGTCTTGCTTTAGCGATAAATTTTTACGTCCCCACTTCAGTAGACTCGTCGTTAAAAATGATGAGCCTTTTCGCATCCGAGTAACTAAATTTCACGATCACTCTTCCAAATACCTCCGTGTTTTCGTCACCACCAGAAACCTTCCTCGACTAAAGAAAACCCACACTATCCACGTAAATAAACGAGCGTAAGTCCAGCACGACGTCCACATCCATCAACCCAAAAATGGGTATCGATCTGGCGGCCACTTGTCAAATGTTGCATCTGCAAACAAGACATGGATCGCGGCTGCAGCATTCTGCTTGCAGACCGGAACGGCCCGGATGCGTCCGGAATATGTAATCGAAAAAGCAGGCATAAGTCATGTCCGAGATAAGGAACCAAACCCAAGGCGACACCCAACCCGCAGCAGATAAGGTAAATAGGTGAAAAAGCGTTAATTCGGATTTTTGCGAGGCCCGGATCGGCCGGAGTTGGCGGTCCTGCCGCCGCCGCTGTTCCTGCTCCTGTTTGCAACTGTAGCAGGATTGTGGGCGTAATTTGGAGCGGAACGCCCCCGCTTTTCCCGCCCCGTTCCCGGCGAAAGCCGCCGCCGCCAGCTCGACGCAGTCCGTTTCCCGCGTCTGCTAGCGCTAGCCTGGCCGCAGGTACCTCCGGTACTGACATGTAATGTTTAAGTGATTCTTTCGATTATTATTGTTTGTTTTTTGTTGAGTTGTATAGGAAGTGTGGGAGTTGTGAATGTAGGGTCTGTAGGGCTGTGAACGCGACCACGATTTCGAAAAAGTTGCGAAAAAGTAGAAATGATGCTTCAACCTCTGCTCGCCATTCTTCTCTTCGTCTGTGCAGGTAAAAAATCGTACACTTAAAATGCTTCTGTGTTAACAAATCCATTGGTTTTGGAGATGGAGAATAAAATTGACGTTTTTTTCTTATACTTGAAAAAAATTAAGCCGATCCCAACCCTATTCAATTTTTGGGAGACTTTTCTCAAAATTAGTACTAAAAAATAAATATCTCTAGAAGAAACCGGTGCAAACTGACGGTGCTACAGGTTTTTTTTTTCATTTTTGTGGTCAAGCTTTCCAGATAAGTAAATCGTTCATTTTTTAAATATCCATGTCTCAAGTTTTTCATGAAAAATAGAACCATTTTCTATAGAATTTTCTGTTATTTTTCAAAATGGTAACTAAGCAGAATACACATTTCTTGTAATGTAGTACCTTCAATCAGTGCAGCGAACAAGCTACAGAACGGAAAAGATTTTCGAAATTTTTGGATTTTTTGAAAAACGAATGCTAGAATTACATTGAATCTTTGTTCTAATGCTGCAAACATTATTTATATACTGCCTCTAAAACAAATAGTTCACGATTTTTTTTCACTCTACCCACGTTACTACTTTACCCCGATTCCCCTACGTACAGTAAATTTTCCGGATTCTTTGATAATGTAGGAACACTATTACTAGAAAGTTCATGGTATGTCAATAACGATAATAGCAATAATCTTGTAATAATAGTGTAAATATTATAAGATACTACTTTTAACACCGACATTTTTCTTATCAATCTGATAACACCGGATATGGAAAAAATGCTAAAATCGTGGAAGGAATTGTTAAAACTCAATCTGAGCGCACATATTCTGCTATTCATTATTTTGTCCACTAATATAACCGTTAAAGAGATAGAGCTCCTGCATTTTGTTCTAAACGGTACCAAAAAAGAAGCGCCTGAAAATATTACACACAAAATTCTTTGTAAAGTAACTGAAAAAATCAAGCCGGATTCATAACCTGTGAGTACAGGAGTATACTATTTTATAAAATTTAGATAACCGCTACTACGCAAAATGATGAGATACGTGATCAAATCGTTGGTGGGTCGATTAGACAAATTTTAGTTAGCGCTTTACCACTACACGGTGTTCTTAAATCAGATGTAAAATTTGACCACAATCAATCCAGTAGTTTCGGAGATTATCTATCTAATAAAAATTGGCCCAGACAGAGGACAGACAGAAAGACGGAAACAGGTAACTTATTTTTTCCTACTTTCCCTCATGATTCCTTTTAAACTGAAATCACTTTATTATACAGTGTGTTCGCAAAAACTAGTATTAATATGACAAAAAATCCAAAACTATCCAAATAAGAAACCAAATTTGACAACAAAGTGACTTTGATTATGTTGCTCTGACAGCCAGGATCGGTTTTTAATTTTTTTGTTTAATGAGATCACTGTTATTACGTCATCGTTAACCTTAATTTCGTTATTAAACCGAGAGTGCAATAAAAAACGGTATAAAAAAAACTCAAACTTTCAAATGGACGTTAATCCGACAAGACGAAAATTCTATCAAAACAAATCTTCAAAAACCTTTAATTGCGTTTTTATTTCTCCCCAGGATATTTTAAAAGTGGGGAAAACGTTAAAAATATTTTCAAAAATTGATCTAGGTTATTTCGACTATTTTTTTGTGAAAATTTGAATGTCTAGGGGAAAAACTCAAGACGGATTCATAAACCAAAAGTACAGAAATATGTTGTTTTATAAAATATAAATAGTGTCTAAAATACAAAATTTTGAGATGACGTCAGCGCGTTGGTAGTGGTGGTGGGATGACTAGACAAATTTTGATTGACGTTCAGTAGTTTCGGAGATTATCTGTCTAATAAAAATTGAAACAGATAGACGACAGGCAGACAGATAGGCAGAAATAGTAGGCCTGTTGTTTCATATTCAAATTTTGTGTTACGGCTCAGAGATTGTATACAAAAAAATAGAAAAACTTATTACTGAACTTAAATTAAAATTATTAAAATCAAACCGGGTTCATAAACCACGAGTACAAGAGCATATTATTTTATAAAATTTAGATAGCCGCTACTACGTAAAATGATGCGGAGACGTCATCAAATTGTTGGTGGGGATGATTAGACAAATTTTGGTTAGGATTTTCCTATCTAGACGGTATTCTTAAATCACATATAAAATTTGACAACAATCGGTCCAGTAGTTTCGAAAATTATCTGTCCAACAAAAATCGACACAGACGAACAACAGATAGACAGATGGAAACGGGAGACCTATTTTTTCGTACTCTAGGTGCAGGAAACGTCAAGAATTCTTCCTTCGCTTGTGCTCGGAAAGTAAAAATTTTTAAAAATCGAATAAATATTGCAGTATTTTCAGATTCTTCGCTCAGTTCTGTAACTGTAACATTTATATGTTTATTGATGTTACTGTTATGCCTTTAACCTTAATTTTGTTATTATACCGAGTGAGCAATAAATAACATCATGAAGGGCAGCCATGGATTTTTAAAGATTTGTCTCAAACTTTCAAATTGACGAAAATTCTCTCAAAACAAATCGTCAAAAATGTTTAATTGTGTTTTTATTGCTCTCTTGGTATATGTTAAAAGTGGGGAAAACATTAAAAATATCTTCAAAAATAATTCTAGAGTTATTTAGACAATTTTTTGTGAAAATTTGAAAGTCAAGGGGAAAAACTCAAGAAATTTAAATAGTGTTCACCATACAAAATTTTGAGATGACGTCAGCGTATTGTTGGTGGGGCGAGTAGACAAATTTTGATTAGCGTTTTACGATTTTCACAGTATTCCTAAAATAAGTATAAAACTTGACAACAATCGGTTTAGTAGTTTTGGAGATTATCTGTCTAATAAAAATCGACACAGATAGACGACACACAGACAGACAGAAATGGTAGACCTGTTGTTTCATATTCTAGGATTCATGACACAAAAAGTCGATATTGTTTTCGATACGGTTTATAGATCTCCTTGAGCTGAAAACAGTGGTGAAAAAAATTTTATTAAGTAAACTACAAAAATATCCAACTTCATATGGTCTTTTATTTGTGGTTTTACAACTTTATTTTTCTTCACAAGTTGTCCTAAAAAAATAACACTGGATCTTGAAATTTTATGTTACCGATTAAATTAAAAGAGTTAAAATCAAGTCGGATTCATAAACCATCAGTACAAGACTACATTAAGTATTTTATAAAATTGATTTATCAAGTTGTTGGTGGGGTTGATTAGACGAATTTTGGTTAGCGTTTTACCATCTACAGGATATTCTTATATCACACATCGTCATCGTTAACCTTAATTTTATTATGTTACCTAGAGAGCAATAAAAACAGTATCTAGGGCAGCCATAAATTTTTGAATATTTGTTTTTGGGTGTTACATTTTAAACTCAAAGTTTCAAATTGACGGTAATTCGATAAAATATTATATCTTCAAAAATCCATGACCGCCTTTAATTGCATTTTTCATTGCTCTCTCTGTATATGTTAATTGAGAAAAACTAGATAATAAAGTAATAAAAAGTTTGCTATTTCATTAATTCATCATATTGTAAAAACTATGTCCGTACCAAATGACAGTATAATGTGTCGGAGCACCATCTTGTTGAAATCAGTTTTTTTTTATACATCCTGGATAAATTGTAATTAAAAAAAACGAACATATTATTAAAAATAACCAGTTTCACGTTCCAAACATTTATTTTTTTCTTAGCCAAACATCGTATTAACACTTAACCATCGCAGGATAGCAGTTATAAAAAAACGTAACTTTTCCAGTCACATCATCATCATTCGCGTTTGCGTCGCCGTCTCCACCCTTCTTCACTTCATATTTCTTGTACAAATGCTTACCATCACAAAATTCACTGGGCCCACAAGTGGGCTCGGGTTTGGTCAAGCATTCAGGAGACCCCATACAATCAGTCCTCCGACAGTCATCCTGAAGCCCGTTTCGTTTCTCACAGTCGCAACCCACGTGCAAAATACCACTCCTGAGTTCCCTCGACTTGGCTCGCTTCGCTCGGACAGTAGGATTTCGTCTGGCAGGTCTACCATCTCGTTTCTTTTCTGTCACTGCGTGCTTGTAGCAAACCTGCAACCAATGGGTCATTTTCTGGGATAAGAGAGAGATCAGCGAACCATTATGTCGGGTGATACTCGTGGTTCTTTGGGTGGTTCGACTGGACAGGGGGTAGTAGTAGTGGTGTGGAGGAGATTGGTGACACAGCATGGAGGACAGCAGGGGTGGCAACTTGTGGGAGGGCAGGGTGGAGGTGGACATGCCTGGCAACACGGGGGCGCTAAAGAACAAGGAATTAGCATTTTTTCTTCGATTGTGTGGACGAGGTTCTTCAAGTCGTTGAGTTTGTTTACGCGTTTCTTGGCTTCTTTTTCGGGACAGCATACGAACATTTTTTTTTGGGGGGGTAATTACACGGAGAATTTAGATTGAATACTGGAATTTTGAGTGTGGAGAAAACGTCAATAAATTGTCATTTGGATGTTTGTTATTTTCGTGTTTGATTAGTAGGCGACTAAACGGCGATGTATGAGTAGGGGATGGAGAGGGCGATATCAAGTTCCAAGTTGAAAGTCAACATATAACCACAACGTTCGCAAACACTAATATAGACTTCACTTCAAGCCAAATCAAACTTCAAAACTTGTTGAAAAGGGATGGATTCTGTGTCTTTAGGCTATATGAAAGTAAGAGAAGTAATAAAACGTAACGAGTCTCAATTTCTAGATAACTCTCCACATTCGAACTTCGCAGAGGCTTTTATTTCTGGGTACGTTCGACTTCCCTCTTTATTTAACAAAGAATGTAATTTCTGTTCTCATCGCTTTCGTTAAAAATATTTACATGTTAACTATTTTCACACTGGAACAGTTTGAATGATTAGAAATTTATATTTTATTTAATCAATATAGATTACAATTCTAGTTGGGTCTGACCCAGAAATTTCAAAAGAATACAATGTCAAGGTAAGACGTGAAAGTGGAACGTGCATTCATTTGCATTTCTTGTTAAGGCCAGTTCCTTGTCTGTGTTTGTTCATTTATTTGCACTTTTCGCATATTGGACCACAATTAACACTCGTAACGAATTTAATCTTTGCAACACCACGCAAGGTTGGCAACTTGCAACACGTAATTATTTATTTTTAACAAAACAAATTAAAAACACGACCAAGGAGATTCGGTAACAAGAAAAGTATCAAATGTGTCATACCTACACGCTCTAGATTTTAATTCATGAGACCTTCAACGCTACAAAAAAATCAGAAATAATAACACAGTTTTGTGAGAAATTGTTCCCCTTGATGTATAAATAAAGCAATCTCTCGCGATATTTAAAACAAAAGATTAAAAAGTGTATACAATGATCATTTCCATATACCGAAAATAGCACTGATCCACCAACTGATCTTTGCTTTTCGTTAACGCTTTTTTGCTACCGGAACTCTCCGCGACTTTTCCTTTCCCGTGGTGATATTTTTTTCGTGTTGTCAAGGCAACAGCCAATCGCCGCCGCCTCCAACTGTCACATCTTCTTCGTTTATTTATTTTCGCCTCTCGGTACGCGTTGTGCTAGCGTGTGACAATTTCCATTCAAATTTAGTTCGTGACGTAGCTCCTAATCGATTTTCGCAGTTGCAATGGACGATGAAAAAACGATTACATATGACGACAGTATAAGATCCTTCGAGAAAACCCCACACTGAACACCCCGGTTTTAATCCCGGGGAAATGCTTTATTTTAATCAGTTAATGGAGGCAGAAGGGGCTAAAAGCCAAACCTGCCTGTACATCGCGGAAATTTAGAGCCAATTCCCCTTGCACTGTACGGAACTATTGCTGGTCTAATAAATAACCACTTTGTACATTACTTGAATTAAATCTTTTCGCGTGGGAGGGCTCAGTGGGGTATTTTTAACTTTTGGTGCTAATATAGACGTCAATAGTCGATTTAGAAGATAGTGGGAAATCTTTTAACGGGAAATAGAGCTACTAGGATTAAAAAAGCTTTTTTGTTCGGTGACATTATAAGTTGGCTTTACATTTATAGGCAGTGGAATGTTTTTTTTTGTTGCTTGTTTGTTAATGTCTAGGGGAGAAATTCAAGCCAGATTCATAAACTACAAGTACAGGAGTATGTTTTACCATCTACTGCCTTTGCATTCTAGATTGCAAGTTGTGAACAGGTTATATTTAGAATTTTATAACAATATGTCTCTTAATAATGGAGTTATTACATTCTGAAAATGTATTGAAAATCGCATGTACCAAACGCAGCGACTGGTCTTAAGTATGTCCTAAAAAGTAAGACTGGACCTTCAAATTTTATGTTACGGGTCAGAGATTTCGTAAAAGTCCTCTAAATTTATTACTAAACTGATTATTAAACTTATACTAAAATTATTAATTTGTACCTTTCAGAAAATTGCTGACGTAATCTTAAAACGGTTGTTAAATGAATCGTCATTGAACAATATACCTTGAGATTGAGATTGAGATTATCGGGTATCCTTTTAATATTTCATTGTTTACTTTTTTAATTTCCCGAGGGTAAGTTAAGGAATGGCTACCTTAAGGCTTTCTCGACGTGCCGTAACCCATAGAGTACGAAAAAATAGGTCCTCCGTTTCTGTCAGATTTTATGTGTGTGTTATGAATATCCTGTAAATCGTTAACCAAACTCTGTATAATCATCCTCACTAACGTGACGACTTTACCAAGCTATAAGTAAATGTGTTTTAAATTTTATGTAATAACAAAAACATGTTGCAATTTAATTTTGAAATTGCAAAGCGGAATGCTCTAATATCTTCTAAATGTTTTATTAATGTTATCTAAGCGTGGTAAATCACTAATCAAAACCACCCCCTCGAAAAATTGAAAAATCCAGAAATTGAAAAATTCCCGAAATTGGAATGTTGAAAAATCGAGAAATCAAAAATTTGGAAAATCGAGGAAGCCGAAACTTGATGAATAAAAAAACTAAAAAATAGGGCAATCGAAACATAAATAAATCTTAAAACTGAGAAATTGAAAATCCAAAATATAAAAAATCGAAAAATCAAGATTGAAATATCCAAAAATTTGAAAAAAAAAAAATTAAAAATGGGAACATACTTCTAAAACCAAGAAATCGAAAAATCAAAACACCAAAGGATCAAGAAATTGAGAAATTGAAATGCCGAGAAGTCGAAAAATCGAGAAATCGAAAAATTAAAACCTATAAATTGGAAAATTTAAAATAGAAAAATTTGGAAAATAGAAAAATGGCAGAATTGAAAAATTAAAACTTCAAAAAGTTGAAAATCAGAAAATTGAAAAATGCAGGAATTGCAACACAAAGAAATTTAAAAATTGAAAAATCAAAAAATTAAAAATTCGGAAAATTGAAAAATTAAAAACCTGATAAATCGAAAAATTGAAAAATCGTAAAATGGAAGAATTGAAAAACTCAAAAATCGAGAAATCGAGATGTCGAGAAATCGAAACATTGAAAAGTCAAGAAATCGAAAAATGGGAAAATAAAAGAGTCAAACAATCGAGAGAAGTCGAAAAATGAAAAAAATCAAGAAATTGAAGAATCGAAAAATTGAAAAATCCCAAAACTGGAGTATCGAAAAAATGAAAATTGAGTAACTGCAAAATTGAAAAATAAAAAAATCTGCAAAGTGAAGAAATAAAAAAAAAACGAGAAATCGAAAAATGCGAAATATAAAAAAAACGAAAAATCGGAAAATCGAAGAATTGAAAAGCCGAAAAGTCACAAAATCGAAAAACGGAGAAATTGAAAAATCAAAACAGCAAAATATCAAGAAATCGAGAAATTGAATTATCGAGTAGTCGAAAAATCGAAAAATCGAAAAATCGAAAAATTAAAAAACTGAAAAATTGAAAAATTTAAAATTAAGAAAAACCGAAAATTTGAAAATTTTAAAAAATCAAAAAATAGAAAAACCGAAAAATCCAAAACGGAGATGTCGAAAAATCAAAAAATCAGGGAAATCGAAACAAAAAAAAATGAAAAATTTAAAATTTATAAATCTGAAAAATTTAAAAATAGAAAAATCGAAGAACTGAAAAATCGAAACTTCAAAAAATTGAAAAATCGAAGAAACAAAAAATCGAATAATCTAAAATTTAAAAAATCGAAAAGTTAAAATGACCAAAAACTGAAAAATCAAGAAATTGAAAAATCGAGGAATTAGAACAAAAAATATAAAAATTAAACATTTGGAAAACTGAAAAACCAAAAACCTGAAAAATCGAAAAATTTAAAAATTAAAGAATTGGAAAAGTTCGGAAATCGAGAAATGGGAAAATGAAAGAATCAAAAAATCGAGAAATCTAAAACTTAAAAAAACTGTAAAGTCGAAAATTTAGACACTCCAAAAATTGAAAAATCAAAAAATTTAATAAAAAGACTGAAATACCGAAAAATTAAGAAACCAAAAGTTGAAATTCGAGTAATTAAGAAACCGAAAATTCGAAACTTTAGAACCACCAAAAATTGAAAAATTGAAGAATAGAAAAATTGAAAAATCCAAAAATTGAAATATCGGAAAACTGAAAGTTCGAAAAATAAAAAATCGAGAAGCTGAAAAACGAAAAAAAATCGAGAAACTGAGAAATTGAAAAATCGAGAAGTTGAAGAATAAAAAAAATCTGCGAAGTGAAAAATAAAAAAAAACGAGAAATCGAAAAATACAAAATATAAAAAAAAACGAAAAATCGGAAAATCGAAAATTTGAAAAGCCGAAAAGTCACAAAATCTAAAAACCGAGAAATTGAAAAATCGAAACAGCAAAAGATCCAGAAATCCAGAAGTTGAATTATCGAGAAGTCGAAAAATCGAGAAATCGAAATGGCATAAAATCGAAAAATTGAAAAGTTAAAAACTGATAAATTGAAAAATCTAAATTAAGAAAAGTCGAAAAATCGAAAATTTAAAAATTTTAAAAAATCAAAAAATAGAAAAACCGAAAAATCTAAAACGGAGAAGTCGAAAAATCAAAAAATCAAGAAATCGAAACAAAAAAAAATGAAAAATTTAAAATTTAAAAAAATGAAAAAATGAAAAGTAGAAAAATCGAAGAACTGAAAAATCGAAACTTAAAAAAATTGAAAAATCAAAGAAACAAAAAATCGAATAATCCGAAATTTAAAAAATCGAAAAATTAAAATGACCAAAAACTGAAAAATCAAGAAATTGATAAAGGAGGAATTAGAACAAACAATTTAAAATTTAAACATTTGGAAAATTGAAAAACTAAAAGCCTGAAAAATCGAAAAATTGAAAAATTAAAGAATTGAAAAAGTCGGGAAATCGAGAAATGTGAAAATGAAAGAATCAAAAAATCGAAAAATCTAAAACTTAAAAAATCCGAAAAGTCGAAAAATCGATTAATCAAAAAATCGAAAATTCGAAAATTTAGACACTCCAAAAATTAAAAAATCAAAAAATTTAATAAAAAGACTGAAATACCGAAAAATTAAGAAACCAAAAGTTGAAAATTCGAGTAATTAAGAAACCGAAAATTCGAAAACTTTAGAACCACCAAAAATTGAAAAATTGAAGAATAGAAAAATTGAAAAATCCTAAAATTGAAATATCGGAAAACTGAAAGTTCGAAAAATGAAAAATCGAGAAGCTGAAAAATTGAAAAGTCGAGAAATTGAAAAATAAAAAAAAACGAGAAATCGAAAAATACAACATATAAAAAAAAC